TATTAAAAATCTAATTAGGCTGAATTATTAAGCCCCTCAGGAAATTTTGTACATAACCCTTTTTTTGTAATTACATTTAATTCCATAGGTTTCAGCTCAGACGAAGATGCTCCTCCACCTAAACATAAAAAGAGGATGTACATGAACCAGCCTCACCTGCGCTTTGAAATCACCAGTGATGATGGATTTAGTGTTAAAGCAAACAGCATCGAGGGTAAGGGCTGTTTAGTGACTGTGCTGTTTGACTGGCTTATGATTTTTAGAATTCCATAAACTCTTAATATCATTCTGTTCTAGTTTGAATATGTAACAGCCGGGAAAACCTGAAGAACTGCTCTTCTGGATTCATGTTTTAGTTTTAACGATTAAGAGGAGTATAAATAAGAAAGTCAGTCTTGTGGATGTGCAGCGTTGCAGAACTCCCACACCTCCCTCATCTCTTTCCTCCCTCAGTCGCCTGGCGTGCTGTGATTGATGGTGTCCTTGAAGCTCGTGCTGGCTTCCATCTGAAGCAGCTGCCACTGGGTGGGATGAGCGGGCCGCGGGTGCTCGGTGTCGTCCACGATGCCGTCATCTTCCTGCTGGAGCAACTGCAGGGGGCCACGAACTGCAAATACCACCGCTTCCGCTTCCACCGCTGTGATGCCATCGAGGAAGAGCTTCCCCTCAACCCAAGTGGCTGCGCCCGAACTGAAATCTACACAAGGTACCAACACGGTCACAGTTTTTGTGTTTAAGAATTTGTAATTGTTGCTAAAGTTTATTTAAACTCTGTTGCTCTGTGTCTTTAATTTTCTTTCTTGTCTGTTAACTGTATTTTTCTTTCCTCCTTCCTAATTAAGGAAAGCAACTTTTGATATGTTCAACTTCCTGGCATCGCAGCACAGAGAGCCCCCGGACATCGTCGGCCCCTTTGATGAAGAGGAGGATGAATTCCCTCTCAAATCTTCTAGGTGAGATTAATTAAACTGTGCCATCATGATCCTAATAATAAAAGTTTTAGCCTTTGCAAGCCACAGTGAAAAAATAAAATTTCCATATTGAAACCACCTTTTCTGTCTCTTCCTCTGACAGACGAGCCACCAGCAGTGAGCTGCCCATGGCGATGAGATTCAGGCACCTGGAGAAAATATCCAAAGAAGCAGTTGGAGTTTACAGGTAATGAAAAACAAAACACTGAATGTATTTACACTGAAATGAAATATATAAATTAACCCACATCCTTTTCTGTCATTCTTGTAGATCTCAAATTCACGGACGTGGACTCTACTGTAAGAGGAACATCGAGGCTGGGGAGATGGTGATCGAGTACGCTGGCACCGTCATCCGCTCTGTACTGACTGATATGAGGGAGAAATATTATGACAGCAAGGTCGGCACATTTAACTTTATTTGAAAACAAAATCTCTAAACTAAACTGGAATAGTAGTTGCTTTGAGCAAAAACAAAATTTTACACAAACTAGTTAAGAAAATGTATAAACAGTGTAAGTCTGTTTATTTATTTATTTTTTCATTACTCACCATCAGGGCATCGGCTGCTACATGTTCCGCATCGACGACTTCGACGTGGTGGACGCGACGATGCAGGGCAACGCCGCTCGCTTCATCAACCACTCGTGCGAGCCCAACTGCTACTCCCGCGTCATCAACGTGGACGGCCGCAAGCACATTGTCATCTTCGCCCTGAGGAAGATCTACCGCGGCGAGGAGCTCACATACGACTACAAGTTCCCCATCGAGGACGAGGACAGCAAGCTGCACTGCAACTGCGCGACGAGACGCTGCCGCCGTTTCCTAAATTAGTATGACACTGCGCACCAATGCTCATCTTGTTGAATAATGCACTTGAATTCGGAAAGTGGACTTTGACGAATCGATGAAGGCGACTGCTGTGACGTAGCCATAAGGAGAGAGGTCGCCGATGTGCACAGATCTGATCTACTGAGTCTTCACTTCATTGGAAGCTTAATTTATCGACTGGGCGAAAAACCAGATTAGAGCCATATGTCAAAGCTTGGGAAGAAGACTATTTATTCAGTTTGTGACTGCTGGATTGTTGCTCTCGTTTTGTTCATTTTGTTGTTATTCATTTACTTTCTGATACACCTCACTCTTTCAGTCTTTGTCAGCAGTAGCCTCTGCTGGAGCTCGGGAGGTGACGACTACCAGCCAAAAATGGTGCAAACTAAAATAACCTGATTTGCATTTACTATAATGTAAAGATGGATCCATTACTATGCTGGTGACAGGGTGTCTTTGGTCTCAGAAAGGGATGACAACAACTAATTTAACTCAGCACCTTATTTTGAAAAGACCCTCTCAGGCAGCACTGGTGTCACAGCAGACGAGACTGATTTTTTATTTCAGATTAAAAGTAACTCAAAGCACCTTGTGCACGTTGTAGTGCAGCTACATTTTAACATCACTCTGGACGCCACAGGGATGACAATAAGGTGCTGATGACATTTACCCTAATGGGTACTTTTAATAAGAGTCACCCAAACTTTTTCCACCTCTCAGAAAAATCTCACTTTTATTTGTAACAGCAGAGATGCTGCGATCGAAATGCTTTTATCTCACTAACCTGTTCTTTATCTGTTCATTTGTGCTGTCAGTGTATTTTAAGGTCAATGAGGGACTTTTCCACAGTGCAGGGTTAAAATTGAATATTGAGATCTTGCTCTGCTCGGTCCCTTATGAATCTTTCCTTTTTTTTTTTTTGTATTTTTG